TGGGGATTAAAAACCATGATGTGTCAGCAATGTTCCAGAAGCACCTTACTAATGCCTTCAATTTGAAGATGAATAGTTACGCATATAAGCGTAGCCGACCCAGTAAAAATTTGCATTCCGACAAAGATAAAAATAATCAGGACACACAGGTAAACTTCCATACAACATACAGTCAATTCATTTTACAGTATATTTGATACACTATATCAAATGCAAGGATTATTATTGTTATTTACATGTGTCCTTGTACTATATGAAAGGTAAAAGGTAAATAAGATTATATCAGCAGGTATGTTAATTTAACAGTAAACATAGCAGATGTGAGTTAATTGTTGCATCCTGTAGTCCCTCCAACCCCTCTCCATTTCTACCTTGAAAACCCACCTTAAAACACATTTTATAAATCTATACTTTCAGCCATCTTTCCGCTCTGTCCCCAGTTCAGACCTTCAGTCAGCTGTGTGAAGTGCTTTGAAATATCTTCCAGACATGAAAGGTGCTATATAAATGTAAATTATTGTTGCTGTGTCTTAACGAAATATGGACATATCTTAAAGGATGTAGGGCAATGCGATCCATTTAATATTTTCCAGCAAGTACTGTACCTTCATTCAGTACTTGCCCTAAATACAACTCGCACTTGAAACACCTTGAAGCCCTTTTCATCAATGGGTGGCGGACACTGAGCAAGTTGTGAAGAAAGGGATAGGAGAAGGACATTGAAGAAACAAATGGAGATGAAGGCTTTTAACAGGGATTTTCTGACAGGGAAAGTGGATGCAAAGAGGATAGATTTAAGAAGGGAGTTCCAGAGAGAAGTGTTACAGTGGCTGAAAGCTAAGCTGCCAACGATGGACCAGAAGGCCCTCCTGATAAAATAACAACAACAACAACAACAACAAGATTCCATTTATAAAGCGCCTTTCACGTCAGGAGGACATCCCAAGGCGCTGCACAGTTGGGTCATGACCCGAGCAGGGGGGAAATGGTCAGGGTGATGGGAGGGAAGGGAGGGAGCGAGGAGGGGGGAAATGGTCAGAGTGAGGGGAGGGAAGGGAGGGAGCGAGGAGGGGGAAGAGAGTCGAGAGGGATAACAATCCTTGCATTTGATATAATACCTTTAATGTTTGAAGAATGTCTCGAAGCACTTCACAGAATCCATTGTAAGGTGTAGCGACTGTTTTGAAGGCAAACACGGCAGCCAATTTGTGCATAGCAGTGTCCCACACATACGGAATGACAAATTTAATCTGGCTGATTGTTGACAGGGACGTGAGGCGAAACTCGCCTGTTTTCTTGAAAGGTGCCAAGGGATCTTTAACATCCACCTGAACAGCCAGACTGGACCTCGGTTTAACATCTTATCTGAAGTGCATGTCCAAAGGATAAAGTAATCATCTTACTGATAAAGTATGTTATTGGATCAATGGTTTAAATTAAATTACCTTGTCTGTGGCATGTAAACAGAAATTTATTCTAGTTCCATTATGCTTTTCTATCGACTAGGATTTTTACCTAGAATAATCTACAAAGGTCTACTGAACATGAAGGAGACTCTGCTTCATGCTTTTTTTTATTAAGTTTGTGACTTGTCTCGCATCTGATTTTTCTTTGAAAATACACATCCAAGGAGGTGCTCCAGAATTTTGTCAACCGTCCAAGCTGGTATATATAATGGAGAATTAATTCATGCGTTTTTAAATTTTTACCTGCAAATTCATAATAAAAATGCAAAATTTGCAGAGAAAATAGCCATCATCATCTGAACTTCTAAATGTAATTTAAAAAATCTTAAAGTTTGCAAGCAAGCTTTGATATTACAAACTTACAGAGACTGCTACAATAGTTTAGAAATTCACTCACTGAGGCTTGAACCACCTGCCCTACAAACTATCACATAGGTTCCACAAATACCCAGTGAAACATTTGCTCCAAACAGATTATCATGCTACTCTATCGTGCATTTTATGTATTGCACTTTTTTTTTAAAAAGTTGGATTTATTTCCTAACAGAAACACCTTAGAATAATGGAAATAAATTAGTGAAGTGCAAATGTTCTGAATTTCATTTTAAATTTGCAACCGACTAGTCAATTGTATGTTTTCTCAACCAACCATCAATTAAATAACTCCATTAATAAGAATGAGAAATATTGGATTACCAAATCAATGCCACACAGCAGTTAACTAAATCTAGTATGTGAATACATCAATAGCTGGTTGATTCTGGATGACATATTATGAAGTATAACAAAGCCTCCAAAAACAGTCATTACACTTAGGCGTAAAGCACAGTGAAGAGATTAGAGACGTTTCAACAACGTAGCTGAGGCTCTATACCAAATACAAGGATTAATAGTTTTTGATGCTCTTGGTTCAGCAACACATGAATTATTTCATTTATTTATGTCAGGAATTACCTCCATTACAGACAATAAACCAAAGAATAAATTCTGCCCCGTTTTTGAAAGGTAGCCGATGAGAATGAGCTCAAGTAAACGATAGCAATTTCAGATTTTAAACATAAATGTAGAATTTTCTTTCCACTTCAATAAATATATTGCATCAACTTTAAATATTACATGTAAATATACTTCAAATGATAGCCACGCCAGCTCTACAGAATCAGCAATAGAACAGAGAATACTCAGCTTTGAATTCAACATTTATTGTATTACAGGGTTTTATAGGAAAAGTCACTGGGAGAAGGGACTCTTTCCACTCAGCTCCTTTTAACCCTGCACCACAAAACTCTAACAAGCAAAGTAGTCCAAACTGAACGAGGAGCAGGAAAACTTGCCAGACAGTGCTTTCAAAGGCAAGCTGTGTGGTTTGAGCTGGTTAGACTCGAGCAGTACTCCAACAAACACTCCGGGGTCCCCAAACCATTGCTTTTGTCAACCTGCATCTAATGCTTTCCAGAATTAGGTAAACAGGAGAGAGGGAATGCGCATTCCATACCAATAAACATCTCTGGAATTGAGATGCATAGAACCTGGTTTGGTATGGATACGCTTAAGCATGGTGTTGGGTTTCCCGAGTGGTGGTACAACATGGTTGTACCCGAGTGAAGCATGATAAAGCATGACCTTAAGTCATGATCTAATTAGTCAGGAATAAGCTCAAAGGTCATTTGTTATTAAAAAGTGTTTTGCTTGTGAAAGGAAAAGCTGCGACTGGAAATTACTTGAGGTGCTGAGAGTATTTTCAACCACAATAGAATACACATTTACATTTATTTATTTAGGTGCGGAATTATCTCCATTACAGACAATAAACCAAAGAATAAATTATTTCATGTCAATAGGACTTCCCAAGACTCTTGACAATACTGGCTTGACCCCCGAGCTGGGGTTGGAAGCCAAACCAAGTGGGGAGAGGAAAGATTACCGAAAGTGTGGTAACAGAAATATGTTGTGAGACAGACCTCGAACGAGGTAAGAGAGGGAGCAGCTTCGGAGGGACTCCAGGAAGGAGTTCCAGAGAGCGGTAGCGCTCAGTATATGATGCAAGATGAACTAGGTGACAATATTGAATTAATGAATAAAGTACATTGTACAAAGAAGCAGAATGCAAAACATTATAGCAGATTGGATTTTACGTGATTACTGTAGTGTAGTAATACCTCTAGATTAAATGCATTTTGTGACAACATCCATTTTGCCCTATCTGTTAGGGTAAAATGGGGTCAGTAATAACTACAACTGAAGGGCAGCTTCCTGAAAACTCATTGTATTTCCATTTATAAATAAATTTTTGGGCTGCTAGGTTACAGTTGACAGGAAAACTTGGAATTTTAAGGACAATTAAATTACAATTATTTCGATTTTTCAGAGCTTGCTATCCTCTGTACTTAAGTTTCACAAAGCCTAAAAATCTTGAAATTAAATGAAATACAGTTTTCTTTTCCAAAAATTACTTTCATCTTGCAGAGAAAAAAATATCCTAAATGCTTAGGAAGGATGACTATTCAGAAAAGCGACAGCAGAGGACAGCATTTTGCAAATATATCCCTCGTCAATTAGGTTACTAGTTCAACGAGAACTGCATAATTCCCTTATGCTTTGGGCCCAAATTTCTAAACTAAAAATGGGAAGATTCAGCTAAACATAAATTTTGCTGTCTTTGGAGCTTGCTATTTTGCCTTTCCAGATTCAGTACTGATTTCATTAATGACAAAGTGACATTGGATTTTAGTGTAACATTATGCACATAATCGTGCACAAACACACAGATGTAAAACAATGTAAGCACAGTTTATTTATGTAACTATGTTAATCGTCTCAATTCTGGACCAATTAGTCTTTTCAACATAGTCTTGCAAACCATCAGTGTTAACAAGTAATCAACCGAAACTGAAGAAATCTGCATTAATGCCAATTTTCTTCCATACTTAAAAACATATTCTCATTATTGTGATATTCCTTTTCTATCTTATTTCCATTATTATTAAGTATATGTTTACGATGAATAAGCCATGGCATGTCACCAGTTTATAATAATAATCTTTACATTTCATATAGCACTTTTGAGGTTAGCATGATGGCTCCAAACGTTTTAAAGGATTTACTGCAAAGTGTAGTGAATGTGTATTTTATAGACGAATAGTACCATTCGCATTAGAGATCACTAATGAATGTAATATTTCAAACAGAACACAATGATTTTTATATGTCTTGGTTACTGAAAGTAAAAGAACCAAGAAATCACCCAGCAAAAATGTTCTTAGATTGGAATAGGCATTGTCATGTTCTACAAATAAGCATTTCAATAATAAACATTTGGGTAACAACAAGTTATAACTTTTGAGTAATGATTTCCATAGTATAAAGAAAGCCAGTGCATGAAAGTATTAATAGGAATAATAAATTAAACTTTGTTGCGACTGTCAAAGGCACAAAAATCATTTAGCGTAAACACTTTGAATTTATAGATAATTGCCTCTGAATAACAATGAGTGTTAAATCAATTTATTGGAATTATTTTAATTAAATCCTCACCTCATCCAGGTTTTTGATATCAATTCGCTTCTCCGTAATACCAATGGGCATTGGTTCTGTTTCAGGAATGACTACTTGTTCATAAACCTTGTTATTTTCCCGTTGGATTCCTTCTGGAAGTAATAGCTGCAAGTCATAAAAGTTAAAAATGAGCATTTTAATGAATTTTTAATAAACATATTAATGCATAGCATACAGTGTAATGCAAGGGAATTCTGATAATGCACCACCCCACCCCCCTTATTTGAGGACTACCATAGATCCAGGCTAACTGTAAGCACCCTATATTGGTTTTCGACTGACAAGCCAGTCCCCCTTACTAAAATTGACAGAAATGTGCATCATTGTTGCAATCACTTTCTGCACACATATATGCTATGCCCATAAAGTGATGTCAATAGCTACCTAAAAAACCCAAAGTTAGCTATTTCATTGTGCTTTGCGTATATCGAGGCTTTTGAGCAATTAGTCCCAAAGTGTCCAGTATCAGGGGGTCCTTATATTACTTCATTAGAACTACTTCAAAAGAAGAATTTTGCTAATGCTTGCCTATAAAACGCATAATCACTACACACTACAGTAAATCATATGAAGTTATTTGAGGTGTTTCAATACACGATCCAGTATAACTGTATATTAAATGCAAGTAGAATTATAAAATTCCATTGGATAATCAAGTTTATGCTGCTGACTTGTCTCCGTTAATAAGATGGTTAAAAGAGCAACAAAACAAGACCTCCCATGGGAGAGCTAGCATCACAAACGTTTAAAGGATTAAATGACCACTCCTGTGCTATTGTGTCTATGATTTGATGACTATGTTTAACGTAGGTTCCTCAGAGCCAACAAATGGAATCACTGAATTTAAATCCAGAAAGAGGTAAAATTAGTATTCAATTCAATTCAAAGTATTCAAACTAAAATACAAAAAAGGAATACATTTTAATATCAGCATCATGAATGTGAAGCTGTGTATGGTTCGATATTCAGTTGCAGGTATTAACAGGTTGGATTAAATCCAACCTCAAACCTTGAGAATCAGCCAGTTCACTTATCCCTATATGTTTTTTTATATATATGTCTAAAAAGAGTCTAAACAAAAATTTGTGAATTTGTACATCATTGATGTATACACGTCCTGCCTACTGCACATGAATGTTATGCATAGAAACTGACATCAATAACGGACTCAAAACCCCCAAATTAGCCGATTTATTGTAGTTTGTTTATATCAAAGCTTTGTGTCAAGCAGCTTTTTCTCTATTCATACGGGAATCTTGCTATGGAAGATGTTTGAGGTCTTCATACAGTGTGTGGAGAATGTTGAGAATGAAGATGAATGGCAACTATTATCTGACAGAACATTGAACAATCTAATAAAAGAAGCAGCAGAAGGTCAGGTCTATCAAATGTCCTTGTATATCTGACAGTTTCCTGTAATAATAAAAATAGCCTTCAAAGTACAACAAAATTACATTATATGGCACCTTTCATGACAGAAGGAGATCCTAAGGTGTTGGTTTGCACCCAAGCTAAGGATTGGAATAAAGAGGGTGGAGGATAGGTGTGGGGGAGGGTGGCTGAAAGCACACTCAAAGAGGAAAGTCATGAGATGGAGGTAAGGGAGGGGACGAGGCGGAAGAATTCCAGGATGGCGTTCCAGAGGAATGAAGATGAATAGCAGAAAAGCTGAAGGCCTGATCACCAATGGTGGAGCAGGCAGAGTAGGGGACATGGAGCAGGCATGTAGCCACCAAGCTGAGAAAGCAGGCAGGTTGGTATGCTGTTAATAGGTCGTAGAGATAGGGAGGAGCAAGACCGAGGAGAGCTTTAAAATGGGAGATGAGGATTTTAAACTCGAGCTCCTGGATGGGATGCCAGTGGAGCTAGGCGAGAATGGGAGTTATCGATTCACTGAGCTTGGTATAGAAGAGGATAAGAGTTGCAGAGTTCTGAATAATCTGCAGCTTGTGGAGGGAAAAATAAGTAAGTTCACGTTCAAATGACAAGATGAACAATTTGAAATGAAAATTTGTCTAGGTAAACAAAATGGAAAATATGAATGCAAGACAAATTCAGTTCATCAATCATGGTTAACTTTAACAAAGCAGCAGAAATTGAAACTGTTGGAATATGAAAAATCCTGGTGTTTCAATAATTCTAAAGATATGTACATATATTAAAGAGATGGTTGTCTTTCAGAACAGTGGCACCTCAATTATCTGCTATAATGAAGGAATCCCTGGTCAATAAGTTAAATTGACAGAGAATCAAGGATCTGCTGTGCGTATGTGTGGATGTCGGCAACAAAAGGTTATCTGTAGATAAACATGGAATGAATTACAACTTATAAATCATATAAGTGTATTTTTTGCAAAAAGATCCGATATGAATTACTTCAATTCCTATAGCAGCAGCAGCAGCCACTGGGAAATGCAATTAATTGTGGAGTCCTTTAGTTTAATGGTTAGAAAACTAAAAAAAACTAATCTGCCACTCTGGACCCACCCTCTGAAACTCCATTCCGCAATCCCTCCGTCTCGCCCCCTCCCTCCCCACCTTCAAGACGCACCTCAAGACCCTCCTCCCTGCTTTCCCCCCTGCCCTCCAGGGCAAGTTTCCTTACTCCATATTCCTCTGTTTACCTAGCAGTAAGTAGGAACCCGGTTGTTAGTCGATTGGCGGATCGTCAGAGGTAATAAACCCTTCAAAGATTAAATAATAAATTAAATAATAAATAATAAATTGGTCACTCAATCCACATTGTTGTATGCAATTGGTTACCCCGTTTCGCCCACAAAATACAGTCAATTCACTTCATAGTATACTCTGTGAAGTGCTTTGAGACGTCTCAAAGACATGTGGCTATATTAAATGCATTTGATATAGTCCTTTATTATGTCTCTGGGATATCTCAAAGCACTTTGCAAGATTTATTGTGGAATATAGTGACTGTGTATTTTGTAGGCGAATGGGACAACTAATTAACACAAAGCAATGTCCCACAACCAGCCATGAAATGAATGACCAATGATGTTGGAAGAATGGATTCTCCCTCATGGTTTTCACTGTCAATTTGCCCACCTTTTTTATATTCAAGTGTCGAGATTTTAAATCCAAGCCATTGGAACAGTACATTCATTTTAATAATACTTACAATTAATGTAGCATCTTTCACATCAGGAAGATGTCTTACAGGGCTTCATAAAATACAATAAAAAGTATAATGGATGTGTAGGCGATTGGGCCAGCTAATCTATAACAGCAATGTCCCACAAATAGCCACGATCTGCCAAATAAAATGGATCTTTTACCAATGGAAACATTCCAATGGGCTATTTGTTTACCTTTTCTACAAAAGGTACAGGAAACTCTGTAATCTTAAAATTGTACTTTTGTAGCTCGGGGTAGAGCATACGGTTTTCATGTATGACGGTTCAATAACTGGCAAAATCCACTAGAAAAGATAACCAAATATCCCATTGAAATGTTTCCCTTGATACAGCCCTGATGGTGTAGTGGATAGAGTGCATCTAACAGACGAGAAGCTCTCTAATTCGACGCACTCTAAGTCAAGTGACATTCATTGCCAAGCCTCACATATGAACAATGGCCTCTTGGGTAGATGTACAAGAAGGAAACCAATGCCTGTGGAACCACACCCCAGAAAGAGGAGGTCAGGATCAGATGCGGAGAAGCAGCAGGGAAAAAAAAATAGAACAATTGAATTTAAAAAATAAATCAAAAATGCCCTTTTAAAATTAGTTTCAGTCATCTGGCAAAAGAGTGCAAAATCCATAATGTATAGCTCCATTAAGGACTTTGCAATCCACTTGACAGAAAAAGGATAACATTCAAGGCTGGGAAAAGTCATTGCAGTAAAGGTAACACTGAAAACAAACCTTCGCACCACCAATAAAAGCTGAAGATTTTACAGCTTCACCATATACATCGTAAACATTAGGGTAATGGATTCGCTTCTGGTCCCACTCTCTCGTGAGAATTGGCATTGTTCTCGCATTTTGAAGAGCATGTTCCCTATGAAACACAGAAAAGAAAATAAGACTTGAAACATAACAGCAATGAGTTACATTTGCATTGCACTTACATATTTAGAGTACGTCTCAGAGCTTCACACAGCTGATTGGGATCCTGAACTGGGAGGAGGAGGGTAGGAGAAAAGTGACCATAACTGTGGTCGAAAAGATAGGTCCTTACAGCGAGTTTTGAAGATCAGAGGGAGAGGTCAAAGCCAAGGGACTCCAGAATAGTTGAAAGCCCACCCACAGATGATGGGGTGGATTGGTGGGGGTGGGGAATATGAAGCAAGGTAGGGTTTGCTGAGAGCAGGCTCTCAGCAAACCCTACTAGGATCACAGGAAGTTCCAGAATTAGGGTGGGGCAAAGAGCGTTTTATGAAACACATCTACAGCTACATTTAGTTTTTGTTGTCTTTTCAACGTACTGTATTATCTTGAAAAAAGCAAAGAGTGCAATAGACACTTCAAATTATATTTTAGTGTTTCCTCATATATTGTAAAGTGACCCAATCCATTTTGACTTGGGCTCTGCCGTGGACATGAAAAACAAATGTTTTATTTCCGTGACATAGAACTGTTTGCAGAGCTGGTGATCCGTGTAATCCCATTTATTAGTGCAGCAATGTATTAAACTTTTTCCACTATGCTTGCATCGACATTTATTAGTGTAATACGTTTGGTCAGATTTCAAATTCCTTCAGATATGATTCTAATATATCATGACAATTATAGAGACAGTTATCTTGTTTAAAAATCATAGGCAAAAGAAAACAAACTGCTATAAGGCACATTGAAGCATTACATCTTCCACATACTTTCTAATAACAATTTTTTCTTCAAGATCCTCATACTCATGTTCAAATCCCTTCACTCCCTGGCACCTCCCTACCTCTCCGACCTTCTCACTCCCCAATCTACCACCCAGTGCCTCTGTTCAACCCTCGCACCCTCCGCCCCACCATCGGAGGTCGTGCTTTCAGCCGCTATCCCCCGAAGCTCTGGAACACTCCCTCAGTCCCTTTGCCTTGCCCCCCACTCTCTCCTTTTTCAAGTCACACTTGGCAACCTTCCTGTTTAACCGTGCTACAGCCACCACCACCACCCACCCAATCCCAGACTCGGAGTCAGGCTCCGCCACTGTTAACTGCTCTGATACGCTACCCTGCGTGGAGGGCACAATATAAGAGCAAGTTTTTATTATTGTTGTTTTCTTTAATCTTTCTCTCATTGTTCCAAAATTTGGAAAGATTGCCCATGAATTCTGTGCTGCATAGTAATCACTCACAACCTGTCATGGCAGTGATGCATTGGAATTTAACAGTCAAAAAAAATTTCGCTATTTTCTCTGAAGTGAAGTTAACCCCACAGTGTCAACGTTCAGCAATATATCCATCTATGAATGATAATGCATTCAGTTTATTTTTACTGCTTATGATATATAATGCTTTCTTTACCTAATAATTATACATGCATATTTCAATTCAGTTCACAAATCCAATCAATCATATGATTTTAATTGACTGAATATCATTAAAAGCCATGTGAAAAAATCTTGTTAATCTCAAGAAAAAAATTAACACATTGTATTTCGGAGCCTTTTTGTTGGCAAACCAGTAAAACATGTATACAACAGGAAAGAAACATAATGAAACCAATGCATTAAGCAAGGAAATTAACTTAGAGAGAGAAATTAGCAGGTATAAACTTTAAATTATTGGCCTTCTAAATTTTCTTTTAAAACATAGATGGCACAATATGTCCTATTTTAGGGTTCATGATGAAGTTTGTTTGCTTCTTTTAATTAAAAATGTTTCCATGTAATCTCCTTCTGAAAAATGAAACTGCATTGAGTAACATTCATTCAGCAAATTTTACATAAAGCTTTACCCAGCTTCAGATTAATTTTTTCCCTTCAATTTGTGTTTTTCTTTTTCAGAAAATACTGCATGGAATATATACGCTTTGATAACATCCAAAATCTCTCAAGAATATTTAGTAAATATATTATGTAAATATACCCAGATTAAGGATTTTTCTGATCAATGTTGGTCTCAATTTTAACATTACATACTATTACATGTGAAGGAGTTGCACTTCATCCTGGGTATTGCAGTTTCGCTCCAATCGATTATATTATGTGAATAGTATTAGGTTCATCTGCAGCAAAAAGCCACAACTGTTTTCAAACCAAAAACCTCATATATCAATAGGATTCATGGCTGAATCTTTCTGTCCTCAACCACAGTACTGGGTTTGTGCAATACCATCACTGGCCTCCAACTCCTTTTCATTCTGCCTCACTTGACTTATGCACATTATCAATCTGCATTGAGATTATTTTGAAGACATTACCCAGCCATCTGTGGCTCTTTCCATTCATACCCATCTAATAGTATATTATGCATTGCTAGCTCCCATATTCTGCTACCACAAATAAAAACAAGTTATAGCATCTTGTAATTAATGCACAAATCATACCATCTTATAATTTATAACCCAAGGTAAAATATCAATCATGTGAATTACTCAAACACGCATTGTTAACAGCAGTCTCTGACACTGACAAATATGTTGCCATAAAAACAGCAGATACAACACAGTAAGCAACTTAACCAAATTTAGTAATACAGGTGTACATATAAACATTATTTAAAGGCAGTAATTAAAATTGTGTTCAAAGGGTACTTTAATATGTGTGAAGAATGTTTAAGATTGTTGTGACTTTCAGAACCCTGAATTCAAGTGTGACATGTATCTTATGACTATCCTGCTATGAGTGCCTTGCACAATGCATTTCAAATATGTTTTATTGTAATGAAAGATTTTTTTATTTGAACAAAATGCATCCAAATCAATTTAATAAGGCTGCAGCAGCTTTGAACCCATGATTTGAAACAGTGTACTTACCTTTGTAAACGTAAATCCTTAGGATCAAAAAGTTGAAATGCTTCTCCAGAAAATTCCCCCTCTTCTTTTCTCTCTCGCCTGGCATGCCGCTTTTCTTCTCTACGATACTGCTTTAACAGTTGTTTTTCTTGCTCAGAATGGACAGTCACCTGACAACCGTAAACGGGTTGTGCATTTCCCCCAAAGCCTTTCTTTGATGTTTCTGTAATAATTAAAACCATCTTTAATCACCTCACAAAAGTTTATCCAGCAGGCATATTTTTTGCATTAATATGCATTTTGTGCATTTTGCCCACAAAATATACAGTTAATTCACTTTACAGTGTATTCTGTGAAGCGCTTTGAGATGTCTCAAAGACGTGATAAGGCGCGATATCGAATGCAAGGATTATTATCATTATATTATTATTAATGGCACATGCATAAAAAACAAAGTAAAACCACGCATTATTGCTCAAATAACAAATAACTCAAATAACAAATGACAGGAGAAACAGACAATAAATATCTAAATTGTAATGGTGCTCAAAGTTGCAACGTATTCGAACCATTTTGATAGAAGGCGATGGAGCTGTATTGGTTGGATCTAAAACTCAATAGGTTAAATGGTTTTACAAGTTTCTACGACAATTTAAGCATGAGCTCCTAAATCTGTCAGCAGCAAGCCGATACTAATTCAAACAAATTCCAACCCATTTAAGAATCAGAATGTAGTGGTGATTAACCTAGTTTCATCTATCAGCCCTGATAAAGTAACACAGGTCATGCAACATTCATCAATTTTGTTCACCATAATGCACTAAATTTGTCCATCAATGCTTCTCTTCAAATGCAATCAGATATGATCATAGTCCAATAGGCCTGTCGAAACCTGTTCCACCATTTTATTAGATTATGGCAGATCTTTTAATAATAATAATAATCCTTGCATTTGATATAGCGCTTTTCACGTCGGGAGGACGTCCCAAAGCGCTTCACAGAACACACTGTAAAGTGAATTGACTGTATATTTGTGGGCGAACGCGGCAGCCAATTGCGCACAGCAATGTCCCACAAACAGTCGTAGATTGAAAATGACCAATTTTATTATTGTTTTTGGTTTTTGGAGGGATTATTATTAGGGTGTGGAGTAAGGAAACTTGCCCAAGGTTTTGCCCTCTGCCTGGAATTGAACTCAGGTCTCTCACTTGCAAAACGAGTGCTCATCATTCAATCATCATTCAATAGGAAGGGATGTGTTTCTGAGGTGTGGGCAGGAAGATGGCATTGACCACCCACATACCTTCCTTGTATGGGTAGAACTCCCTTTCAAATATCAGTGTGGCTCTCATTTTAAGTTGATGTGCCTTTTTTTAGTTAGATGAGTGGTCTGAAACATATGAAAACCTATTAAGAGGATCCAAACCAGAGCTCCACATATGTGCACCACCTACACATGGACATTTGGAATGAAATGTGCACTCTCTGCCTGGAGCAACACATCCTGCTTATCTAATTCCAGTGAGCATTAGGTGCAGGTTGGCAAGAACTATGGCTTGGGCTCTGCAGATAGTGTTTTGGGGTATTGCTGGAATTTAACAGTTAAAACCACATAATCATTGTCAGCACTGTCTGGCAAGTGAAGCATTGCGGGTGAATTGCTCTCGACATAAGAGTGATGTAATATGGGGGTCGTATACTATTGCCAAGCTTTGCCAACATGAAACATATATTTGCAAACACTAACACTGTAGATTGATGAAATCTTGATAAGTGAGTGTTATGCTGTTGTAGTGCTGTGGATTTTGCCTACATTGAACATTTGTACTGTGTACCTTTAAATGAAGGTATGCTGATAATTGTGCTCATGTAACTTGTTCGATTGTGGGAAATGAATGGCATCTGTCTTTATCTATTGTCCTTGCGCTGTCTTCGTATAGTTATGTGGGAAAAGGAATGTGCAACTGGTGGCCTGGGCTACGTGAGAAGTAAGACAAAGAAGGGGTGTCTGTGTCTGATAATTAGGTGGCCTTGCTAATGAGATGGTCTTTTATTAAGTGAGGAGTAAAATCAAGAAAAATGGTATTTGTAAGCAAAACCAGATGGTCTTGAAGGTCAAAAAAACTTGTCTGTTTTCACATTTGGATAAGGAACAAAACTTGCTTTTTTCTGTGTATAAATAGCCTGTAGTTGGAATAGACACGGAAGAAAAGAAACAAGAAACTACTAAGAAACTCCAAAACAAAAACTACTACAACTATGTTCTCTAGATCGGTATCTGTACTACTCTCTGTGAGCTTAATTATCTCATTGTCCTGAACCTCACAAAGACTCACAAATTTCCAAGTCAATAATTTCATTTAAATTAAGTACAAATAAATATAATTAAAATATAGTGATGATTTGTGTCACAACAAGCTTCGTGCCGCTTGTCCAGTTAGAACCACCGTATCAGTTAAATTGGCATTCAGGGTCAACAGGAGCTGAGTGTGAATAATCCCTGCTCCCAATGACTGATCTGCTCCTTCACATGGAATTATATAGCACAGAAGGAGGCCATTTGGCCCATCGTGTCTGTGCTGGCTCTTTGAAAAGACATCAAACAGATAAACTGATAGGCTGATCTGTTATCAGCAATACTGGAGTACTCTGGACTACCAAAGATCCCACAAAGATTTAACTTGACTAAATACATTCCTTGGCAAAGCATATCAACCTTGGAGTCAGCTCATCTCCAAGCGACCCTGTTTACCGCCTCTGAAGATGGATACCTGTAACTGTGATTCCATCAATCTCATTGGTTACTTACTTAGGCTGAACCAGGTTGTTTAGCGTTCTAGCTTAATGTCATCAGTAAACTTGGATCTATTCTGATCCATCATTCTCAGATCATTTAACATATCGTGTGGAAAGCTGTGGCTTCGGCCACAACTTGATACTGACCACCATATCAGAGATTATCCCTTTTAATCCAATTGTCTATTCCTTACCTCCCAGCCAATTTCCTCTCCATACCATGAGAATTCTTACAACACTTTGCGCATCAGCTACAAATCTCTTATGTGGTAACTTTTTCAAATGCCTTCAGAAAATCCAAATGAAACATACCAAAGGTCAGTGAGAGAGCAGAGGCTCGTATTGAGGTCTGGGGCCACTCGATAAAACATCCTTTATAAAAACTATCTCTGCTTCAATCTCCCTCTGTTTGTGGTGGCCTTGTCCTATTGGTCTGTCTTCCTTTTGCTATTCTTGTCTGTCAATCTACCAAACGTGCGTTTCTCTATCTGTGAATAACCTCCCATGACTGTTTGTGGGACCATGCTGTGCGCAATTGGTTGCCTCGTTTGCCCACAAAATATACAGTCAATTCACTTTACAGTATATTCTGTGAAGCGCTTTGAGACGTCTCGAAGATGTGATAAGGCACTAAATCAAACACATTATTATTATTATTATCTATCAACAACAAATTACATTTGAAAAGTGTCTTTCACGTCGGGAGGACATCCCAAGGTGCTGGACAGTCAAGGATTTGGATTCAAGCAAGGGGTTGCGATTAGGAGTGGGGCAGTGATGGTTGGGGTGGGAGGGTGACTGAAGCATGGTCGAAGAGGAGAGTCTTGAGGTGTGGCAAGGAGGCAAGGGAGGGAGCAAGGCGAAGCGACTGTGGGATAGACTTCCAAAGGGTGGGGCAGGGAGGCTGAAGGCCTGACCACCAATGGTAGGGTGGGCCGGGCAGGGGATGTGGAGCAGGCTGGAGCCTGCTGAATGAAGGGAGATGATGCATCGATATATCGATATCAAACCGACTTTATCAATTCAATAACAATAACAACAAATTGCATTTATATAATGTCTTTCACATCGGAGGAAGACCCAAGGCGCTGAATCCTTTACCCATCACTTAAATAGTTCTGTCAAAGATCTCTATTAATTTATTAAGGCATGATATCCTTCGCAAAAGCATTTCAGCACCTTGGGACATCCTCCCGAAAGGCGCTATACAAATGTAATTTTGTATTGTATTTCATTTATCCAGATAGTCTGTTACTTTATCCTGAAGGTGGATTCCACTAATATACTTAAAATTGATGTTGAATTTATAGATCTATAGTAGCATGGTTTATCCCTTCTTCAATAATGGCATTACTTTTACTAACTTCGAATCATCCAATTTTATTCCTGAATCCAGAGAGTTTAGAAGTCATGACGATAGTCAGATTTTCAGTTGTCCTCGCAAAAAAGTATATAGTAAAACTCACATAGGTCGTATCAGTCAGGACCATTTAACATTTAATATGATTTATGCAAAGATGATTAATATGACAAGTGCAAAGAAATGTAAGAGGTTTTGATTGGAAATTGAATGGGACTCGGTTGCATGTATAACTTGGATGATTATTTCATTTATGTGAGTTTTACTGTATTACAAGCACAAACAGACATACATTTTGTTTTCCTCAGAGCTCGCCATGCCATATTATGCCACTTTTACATTGTGGCTCGTTAAACTTTATGCACTGAAAATCAAATGCTTTTGTTAGCAAAGATCACAAAAGAATTCCAATTATGATTCACACAGGCAGAAAGTCAGCATCACATTCGTGCCATGATAACAAAACGTGCAAGCATTGTGCAAAATCCCTCAGGCCCATTTGCTCTGACTCAACTTTTCAACTTAACTCATTATTCATGCATGCATCCAGAGGCTGTGGGAGATCTGACTCTTGGTAGAGTCTTGGTAAATTTCGAGCCAGAAATACCAGCAATATTCCAATAGGAGTTGCCTTTGAAGCCAGGCAAACTCATAGGTAAAACTTGTATAATTTACTTGTGTCCACACGTTAGATCTCAGTTCTAGCCAATAACTTCAAAGTTATTTTAATCCAATAGACTAGCAATTCTATATTTTTCCTGCTAAAGTAATTTAACTATGCTACAGTGCACAAAGGTTAAAGGGTGCAACAGAAATACAAGCTAACAATGTCACTTTGAAATGCAGTGTAAAATGCTTACTAAATGAGCTGTGCAATAAACTAGACTCAAACTCTCTGCAGCTTTTTATAGCTAACAGTGTACTACATCTTACCTTTATGGTGTCAGACTATAATAGATTGAAGATGTGTCAAATTCTGATTTAATAGCAATTTTCTCTTGCACGAGGAGGTATCCTACAAATTTGTTACGGTGCAAGCAAAGCTCAATGCAACATCCATTTTACAGCATTCATTTATTTTGTTCTTTGATAAACAACTCTCTTCAATCCTCCGCAAACAACGCGCTACTACGTTAAAAGGTAACTTTAAAAATCTGTATTAGACCATAATGCAGGACGGTCAGAATCTTATTTTCTCAAAATGGTTGTGCCAATAAGTGCCATGGATTAATTTTAAAAACATCAAAAGCTTCATTATATTAAAATCACAACACTGCTACTGCTTTCAGAATTAAACATTCACTCAGCAACTCATTGATGTCTTCTCTGAAAAGGCTCCAGCTATTTGGATTACATTGATCCAACACAATATCAATTGCTTAACTATTAAACCTCAGACTAAAAACGCTTTCCCACAAGGCAGATAAGTTGGAATTCCAACATAGAAAATGCAATATGGATTTGTGACACTGCAGACTTGACATGAGCAGCATCATCAAGAATGCCAGCATTGATCAGAAGCCAGAAGGAAAAAAAAGCAGGAGAGAGTCATCTCCATTGTAGCTTAATTCTCTCCACACAAAGTTTGTTTTAAAAAATACGTAAAGAATTATTATTTCTCCATAAACCCTCCTTGCCTTGAAGATAGTTGAACTTGAGATCTGTAGCTAAGTTCAGAGCTTTCTCCACAATCTTGCACCTGTGTTGTAAAAGTTTCTCGATCAGTTCCAATCCCTCTGGGCCAAGCAGCTCAAACAACTGAAAGAAAAAAAGGAACTATTATCAACTAAGAGCTTCTCCATCAGATTGCATGCAAACTTATCTCAAGTTTCACTTAAAATCTTTCTAAAATGCAACAATGCAAAAATGGAACAACCGTGATAATGAAAAATAAGAGTTTATTACATTGCGTGAATAAACATTTTGAACTTTAAAAGCTGATTAAAAGCTCATTCATGAATCCAGTTTCTACTCAAACCTTTTACAAGGTATGTAGCTCCAGTAGAGGAGCAAGCAGGGTACAAGGTGATCAAAAGCACAGTCGAAGAAGAGGGTCTTGAGATGGGTCTTGAAGGAAGGGGGCAAGGCGGAGGGACTGCGGAATGGAGTTCCAGAGGGTGGGGGCAGAGTGGCAGAAAGCCCGCCCGCCAATGGTGGGGCGGGCGAGGTGGGAGAAGTGAAGCAGGCCGGAGCCCAACAACAACAACAACAACAAGATTCCATTTATAGAGCGCCTTTCACGTCAGGAGGACGTCCCAAGGCGCTGCACAGTTGGGTCATGACCCGAGCAGGGGGGAAATGGTCAGGGTGAGGGGAGGGAAGGGAGGGAGAGAGGAGGGGAAATGGTCAGGGTGAGGGGAGGGAAGGGAGGGAGCGAGGAGGAGGAAGAGAGTCGAGAGGGGAGCTGAAGGCACGGTCAAAGAGAAAGGTTTTGAGACCGGCCTTGAAGGAGGAAAGGGAGGAAGCAAGGCGAAGGCACTGGGGGATGGAGTTCCAGAGCCTCGGGGCTGAGAGGCTGAAGGCCCGACCACCGATAGTAGGGCGGTTGGGGCGGGGGACGTGGAGCAGACCGGAGCCAGAGGAACGGAGGGTACGGGCAGGTAGGTAGGGGGATAGTAGGTTGGAGAGGTAGGAGGGAGCAAGGCCGTGAATGGCCTTGTAGGTGAGGATGAGGATCTTGAAATCAATCCTCTGGGGGATGGGGAGCCAGTGGAGGCGAGCGAGGGTGGGAGTGATGTGGTCCCGAAGCCTGGTGCGGGACAGTACACGAGCTGCAGAGTTCTGAATGACCTGCAGCTTGTGGAGGGAGGTGGCGGGAAGGCCGGCGAGGAGAGAGTTCCCATAGTCCAGCCTTGAGGTGACAAAGGCGTGAACCAGGGTTTCAGCAGCGTGAGGGGTGAGGTAGTGCCGTAATCTGGCGATATTCCGGAGGTGATGGAAGGCGGTGCCAGTTGTGGTGCGGATGTGAGGGAGAAAGGACAGCTCAGGGTCGAACAAAACGCCGAGGTTCCTGACTGGCTTTGAGAGGTGGAGAGTGCAGCCTTGGATGCTGATGGTGTCAGCGCCTGAGGTGCGGAGGCGCTGACGTGAGCCAATCAGGAGGGCCTCGGTTTTTTGCACGTTGAGCTGAAGAAAGTTGTCTCTCGTCCAGGACTCGATGTCGGACAGGCAGGCTGTCAGGACATCGGTGGTCGTGGAGTTGAGAGTAGAGGAGGAAAGGTAGAGTTGGGTGTCATCCGCATACATGTGGAAGTTAACCCCATGTTTGCGGATGATGTCACCAAGGGGGAGCATATAGAGGGTGAAGAGGAGGGGACCGAGGACAGAGCCCTGAGGGACACCACATGAGACAGTACGGGGGGTGGAGGAGAAGCCATTCGTTGAGACGAAGTGAAGACGGTGAGAAAGGTACGACCTAAACCATTCAAGGACAGTGCCTTGAAGGTTGAGGTGGGAGGACAAGCGGTGGAGTAGGATAGTGTGGTCGACCGTATCGAATGCTGCCGATAGGTCGAGGAGGACGAGGAGACAGAGGGAGCCCTGGTCACAGATGGTCAGGATATCATTGGTGACCTTGACCAGGGCAGTTTCTGTGCTATGAGCAGCACGGAAACCTGACTGAAGGGGTTCAAAAAGAGAATGGGTGGAGAGGAAAGAGCGCAGTTGGGAGGCGACAACTCTTTCCAAGACTTTGGAGAGAAAGGGGAGGTTGGAGATGGGCCGGTAGCTTGATAGCTGCGACGCATCAAGGGAGGGTTTTTTCAGGGTGGGCGTGATGATGGCAGTTTTTAATGGAATGGGGACAGAGCCAGAGGAGAGGGACAGGTTTATGATGTCAGTGATGTGTGGGACAAGAAAATGGAGCTGGGAGATAAGGAGTGGAGTGGGGATGGGGTCAAGGGAGCAGGTGGTTGGTTTTAGGGATAGGATGAGTTCAGTGGGAGTTCAGCCCACTGAGTGGAGGGAGCGGGCAGGATGGTAGGGGATTAGGAGGTTGCAGAGATCGGGGGCAGCAAGACCATGTCGGACTTTGAAGGTGAGGACCAGAATCTTGAACTGTTTCCTCTGTGATGGGAAGCCAATGGAGTTGGGCGAGGATGGGGATGATAGGGTCACAGAGCCTGGTGCGGGAGAGGACATGGGCTGCAGAGTTCTGGATGATCTGCAGCCCACTGAGGGAGGAGTTGGTGAGGCCAACAAGCAAGAAGTTTGCATAGTCAAGCCTCGATGTAATGAATGCGTGTATGAGGGTTTCGTCGGCCTGTGGTGTGAGACACTGACGGAGCCGGGCGATGTTGCGGAGGTGGAGAAAGGCAGAATGGGTCATAATACAGATGTGGAGTAGAAAAGATAGTTGAGGATCAAACAAGATGCTAAGGTTCCGGACTGGCTTAGTAAGGTGGAGTGTGCATCCACGGATGGTGATGCTGTCAGCGCCTGAGGTGTGGAAACGCTGATGGGAGCCAATCAGGAGAGCCTCAGTCTTGTTGACATTCAGCTGAAGAAAGTTAGTTCTCATCCAGGACTTGATATCTGACAGACATTCTGTAAGGACAGCAGTGGTTCTGGAGTCAAGTGTAGAGACAGAGAGATAGAGTTGGGTGTCATCCGCATACATGTGGACGTTGACCCTATGTCTGCGAATGATGTCACCAAGTGGGAGCATATAGATATTGAAGAGGAGGGGACCAAGGACAGAGCCCTGAGGAACGCCTCACGAGACGGTGCGGCAGCTAGAGGAGAAACCATTTGTGAAGATGAAGTAGAAGCGGTGTGAGAGGTACGATCTGAACCAGACAAGGACAGAACCGTGAAGGATGAGGTGAGAGGAGAGGCAGTGGATGAGGATAGAATAGTCAACAGTGTCGAAGGCAACAGAGAGAGGTCAAGGAGAATGAGAGGCAGAAGGAGCCCTGATCACAGATGGACAGAATGTAATTTGGCACTTTGATCACTTTGTCACTCTGCCCTGTGGGCAGCATGGAAACCCGACTGGATTCGTAAAGGGAGTGGCGAGAGAGGAAGAAGCAAAGCTGAGAAGCAACAGGTCGTTCCAGGACCTTGGAGAGGAAAGGGAGGTTGTAGATGGGGTTGTAGTGTGAGAGCAGTGATAGGTCAAGGGAGGGTCTTTTAAGGATAGGAGTGTTGACGGCCATTTTTTAATGGGGTGGGAACAGTACCAGTAGACAGAGAGAGGTTTATGAGGGGCAAGGAGGTGGAGCTGAGAAGTGAGGAGAGGGGTAATGATGGGATCAAGGAAGCAGGTGGTCGTTTTCATGCGGGTTATAGTGGTGGTGAAAGAGGAATGGGAGACAGTTTTGAAGGTGTGGAGGGAGGGATGGGTAGGGGCGGGGTGAGAGCGGGAGATGGGAAGAGTGTAGTAGATGGAATGGCAGAGGCAGCTGAGCGGATCCCCACAACTTTGGATTCGAGGAAGTCTAGCATCGCCTCACAGTTGGCATTGGAGGTGAGGATGGGCGAGGCGTGAGAAGGTGGGCAGAGAAAATTAAAAATAACTACTCGGAAATCATTATTGTGAAGGGGAGGCAGAAGGTCTCCTGGATGGAGTTGCAGTAAACGGGTTGGACAAAATGAATGAAGGCTCACCAACCAATAGTCAGGTAGAGCATAATATTGGGATAAGATCTCCATTGATTTTCTTTAGTATCCACTCTCATCTATATGGAATCCTGCAATTGAAAGATCAGATGCACTGCCTACTCTCAAGCCACCATCATGTTGAAGTGCAAGCACCACACAGAAAAGAGTCTCCCTTCAGATTTTCTTTCAATCCATTAGGCGATGATGCAATCCTGGTTGCAATCCCTGCTGGTCACAGCTCAAATGAACAATTCAGTAGACCAGGATTTAAAACTTGAATCCATCTCACTCTATGGCACTGAACATTTTGCACATTAGTGTTTGCCTGCTTAGCCGTTAAGCCCAAGGCTATTGAAGACATACAGTTTTTTCTCATCAGATCATTCTCTGGACCTTTTTTAAAATCAGATTTTTGTCTGTGTTTAGTTTAGCATACCCAACCATGCTTACTAAATTGTACTACCTAAAAGTAAATTAAATTTGATGTTTATAAGAAAGTAAATTGACACAACAATTCAAATTGCTGTCCAACGTAAATTGCATCCTGTGCACTACATATTGTAGGCATGAACCATTGAACCAATCACGATGATATCAGCTCCATCTCCACTCATTTGCATCCCAAATCATATCCACTGATTTCACACTGGCTGCTGCTTTGTTCAATACTTGGGTACAAAGCCAACTGTGTGTTTTTCTGATGTTGCGCCATTGCACACCAGGATGGTAAAAAGTATGGAACATATTAAAGCAAATGGAATAGTCTGGGACAATTGAAGCCATGTGCCAGAAGTGTTAGAGGGAAAAACAATTGTAGTTCTCAGTGTTTGGAACAAATTACCTCAAAAAGGTCATATCATTATCATTTAATCTGCGTATTTAGCAATTTACTTATGTAACAGTATTGGGTTAAGGAAGTACCAGCGTGCAATTTAAGCAGATTAATAGATTCAGAAAATTATCCCAAATTCTCATAACTGAAGGTCATAGAAATGCAGAACAATATGCTAATTCCTCTGCTAGTGTAAAAAAAGTTTAATGTTTTCTCTGCCAATTAGTGAATGTTGCCTTACAATTTGCAAACAAGGCTAAAATCTCTGTAAACCTGTGGAACACAAAACTTGTTCAATTTAACAAAACTGCCCAGTCAGCTCAGTTCCATTTCCAAGCATAGATTGCAAACTTTAGATTGCAAACTTTAAAAATTATGGTACCAATCCAATTGTAGCGATTGTGATACCGATCTATTGAGAACTTATGAGAACCCATTTTTTAGTCGATTGGCGGATCGCTTTTCTGGGGGTAATAATCCCCACAAAAATATTTTTTTAAATATAATAATTTGGTCACTCAATCCTTTTGTAGGACAATGCTGTGCACAATTGGATGCTGAGTTTCATCCACAAAATATACAGTGAATTCACTTTACAGTACATCCTGTGAAGCACTTTGAGAGGTCTTGAAGATGTGATAAGGCACTATATTCAAGGATTATTATTATTATATGTCTCATACAGTGGATACTTTACTCACTGGTGTGTAAGACATCAAATGCTCAAGTTTACAAGCAGGTTAGCAAATAATTTTAAAAGCTTGACAAGTAAACTGCAAATTCTATTTAAAAGTTAAGTAAGCCCCTTGCCTAATGTACTCTATTTATAAGCACTATATCTTTCAGCAAATGTTTGTTGTTCTGATAAATTGCCTCACTGTCTAATGTACAGCATATGGTAAATTATTCCCCAGGAAACCACATAAACAAGTTAATAGACAATTCACTAAGTGGCTGCTTTTCATTTCCATTAATATTCCTTTCATTGACTGATACTATATGTGAGTGTTCTTTTGAACAGCTTGAAAAATCAATGTAAAATACCTTTTTATCCAGTATGCAAGTATTTCATTATTTAATTGTTGTGAAATTGCAATTGTATCTTATTTTTATTCAACTGTTTTCACTTATTCTGTGCTCAAAATGTTAGTTATCCGTGTTTCAGAAAGGAAGATACATTTTTCAACAACAACAACTTGGCGATTTATATAGCACCCTCCACGCCAGACGTCTCAGAGCACTTCACAATAACAGATCCCGGGGCCGAGCCAGGGGAAGGCGGAAGAAGGAGATCAAAGGCGCGGTCGAAACGAAAGGTCTTTAGCCGAGACCTGAAAATAGGAAGAGAGGGGGCGAGACGAAGGGAGTTAAGAAGGGAGTTCAACAGCCTTGGGGTGTAGTGGCTGAAGGCACTTCCGCTGATGGTGGAGCGGAGGATTCGGGGGACAAAGAGGAGGCCAGACCCGTTGGAGCAAAGGCAATGGGCACTGTTGTGAGGAGAGAGGAGTTCAGAGAGGTAGGAGGGTGCAAAGGATGGAGGGATTTGAAGACAAGAGTGAGGATCTTGAAATCGATCCTCTCTGGGGCAGGCAGCCAGTGCAGTCTGGGAAGGACTGGGGTAATCGGGGGAGCGGAGTTTGATATGGGTAAGAATGCGGGCGGCAGAATTCTGGATCACCTGGATTTTATGAATGGTAGTGGAGGGGAGACCGGCGAGGAGGGCATTTGAATAGTCCACTGATAGGTGACAAAGGCAAGGACCAGGGTTTCGATGGCTTTTCGGGTGAGATTTTGGAGGAGACGGGCATTGCGTCGGAGGTGGAAGAAAGTGGTGCTGGTTATTGACTGGATGTGGGGAGGAAGGATAATTGGGGGTCGAACTTGACGCCGAGGTTGCGTATGGGTTCGGAGAGTTTTATGGGGAGGTCGGGTAGGTGGAGGAGGTGAGAACCGTGCGATTGAAGACTTTGACGAGAGCCAAAGAGTATAGCTTCCGTCTTGTCAACATTCAGCTGAAGGAAATTCGTGCTCATCCAGCTCCTGAGACAGGCTGATAGAACATCAGGGGACTGGGGGTTGCAAAGTGAGGTGGAAAAATAGAGTTGGGTGTAGTCCGCATACATGTGGAAGTGTACCCCATGTCTGCGGATGACATCCGCAAGAGGGAGCATGTAGATCAGAAAGAGGAGGGGGCCAAGGATGGATCCTTGGGGTGCCCCAGGTGAGAGCGGGAGGAAAAGCCATTTGTGCAGATGTAGGACTCATTCGTGAGGTAGGACGCGAACCAGGCGAGTGCGGTCCCACTGAGGTGGATGATGGAGGAAAGGCGGTGGAGTAGGATGGCGTGATCGACTGTGTCGAAAGCGGCGGAGAGGTCCAGGAGGACAAGGAGGCAGAGGGAACCCTCGTCACAGATAGAGAGGATGTCTTTTGAGATTTTCACAAGCACAGTCTCTGTACTGTGGGCAGGCCAGAAATCGGACTGGAGGGGTTCGAAGAGGGAGTGGGAGAAGAGGTGTGAGCGCAGTTGATTGGCAACAACCCATTCTAGGATTCTGGCGAGGAAGGGCAAGTTTGAAATAGGGCGGTAGTGGCAAGCGTTTGAGGATCTACGGAAGGTTTTTTGAGGAGGGGGGTGATGACAGCAGTTTTGAGGGGGGCAGGGACTGATCCAGAGGAGAGGGACTGGTTGATGATGTCAGCCAGTAGTGGGCAGAGGAAGGGGAGCTGGGTGACCAGCAAGTTGGTGGGGAGGGGGTCGAGGCAGCAGGTGGTGGGTTTCATCGAAGTGATGGTGGGTGAGAGGGAGGAAGGAGAGATGGGGAGGAAGGAATGTCCTGGGGGTCATGGTAGGAGCTGATGATGGGGAGGGTGATGGGGACGGAGAGGGGGTGGTGGTGGGTGACAAGAGGCAGGAGGATGAGGCTGCCTGGTGGATGTTATTTATTTTGGTTGAAAAGAAGTCCATGGTCTCCACGCACTTGCCATTTGATGTGCAAATCTCTGTTTTCATCTGGTACCAGAACCAAGCACTCTGAGATACAACACAAACCAGATAAGACCACTCTGGTCACTTCTGGAATCGACTCATCAGATGCCCTACTCACAAGTCTCCTCAGCTCTACACTCAACAAGCTCCAGATCATCCAGAACTCCATGGTCAGCACTAGCTCCGCGAGCATCCCCCACATTCTCACCCCACTTCACTGGCTCCCTATCCCCAAGTACATCACCTTTAAGATCCTCGTCCTCAACATGAAATCTCTTGCTCTGTCTTACCTCTGCAGCCTCCTGCCTCTCCTGGCCACTTCTCCTGCACTGCCAACTTTAGCCTCATTCATGCCCATCACCTGCTCCCACCCACGATCAGCAAGCAAGCTTTCAGCCACTTTGGCTTTTCCACCCTCTGGGATTCTCCCTTCACCTCACCTGTCTCTCTGCTTTCAAAACCCAACTAAAGACATATCTGTTTGACTGCATATTCAGACACCTTCCCCCATCACCTCCTTCCAAGCTCAGGTTTTGTGAAGCATTTCTTTACGCTATTAGTGTGACTTTTTTTATTTCCTACAACCAGGAATTATTTTGAGTTTGGTTTTGTGCTAAAGTTCTTACCCTTCAATGAAGTGTATTCAAATTGCCCAAATTTGTTTCATATAAGAAACCCGAAGCCAGGTCAGAGATTTTTAGATTGCAACGTAGTCCAGCACTGAATGTGCCACTATATCATTTTACATTCATTATCTTAAAAAGTTACATTCAAATGTTACATTCAGCTAAGTGGTGTGGAATACGTTCACGTGAAGCAATGTCCATGTTACTTTACCTCATTTTGAAGTTCATCATCGGTTCCAGTAGATGCCAGCATCTCAAACAATGTTCCACACAACTCTTCTGCAGTTGGTCTACCTGGTGAATTCTGTAACGTTCCACAGATATAGTTTTCAACTTCTTGTCTTAAAAATGTGGCATCCACTTTATCAGAAGATTTGAAATCGGAACTTTCAGTGGATCCATTTTTAAGATTACCACGATGACTGTCTAAATATTTGTTGTAATCGAGGCTGAAGTTCTTTTGGGCACCATCAGGTTCATAGTTCAAGGGCAATTCATCTAAATGTTCCAGGGAGAATGAATCGAACGAGAACTGAATATTTTTACCGAAGTGTGTGCGGACATGTTTGTTCTCAGACTGATTGGCACAAATTAGTTTCTGTAGTTCCTCTTCTGTAAAATATGAGGCAATTTTGTACACTGCACTGCAGGCTGTAGTAGCAGCTGAAGAGGGAAATGGCCCAAACATTTGCTTAATGGCTTTTGTTTCTTCATGCCCAACATGGTCCTTGTTGTAAAAAACGTTGAAGAGAAAAACGGCTGCACTTTCCACAGTGGTTTGTCCATATTCTACCCCAACTGCAAAACAAAAGTGAAACGGCATTTCAGCCATAAGCAAATCACATAAGTATTATGAATCAAACACTTAAACTATTACCGTGAACTTTCAAACACCTCAACTATGCTATCTTATATGCATAGACTGAAGTTCAAACATGTTTATGGAATACAAGCTTACGGCCAGGTGACAAAACATTCTATTTTGTTCACTGCTGTACAGTTGTAATACATGATTTCCATTACTAGTTACGACAAACAATGTAAATTTCCCAGCCAGATTCAGGAGGTAATCTGAAATCTGCCAATTTTTTTTCCAAAGATATATGGTGGAAGTTTGTTTTGTAGAGTAGTGGGAGCTGGGTAGTGACTGTTATAAATGATATCCAAGCCCCATATGTTTTGTGCACTCAAAATCAACCGCTGCTCAGTCTAAGACCTCTAACAAGGGAAGGTCCCATCATCACCAGCGAGTCACAGCATTCAAAATAATTAAACTATATAAAACCATTATTATATGCATCTGCAAACACAATGTAATCTGAATTGCATCATATAATCTGTAAACTCCTCATATCAAGAAAGCATGTAAACTGTTTAAACAAAATATAGTGCTCATGTGGAAAGATGGTTAAATGGTTACACTTTTTTAAGGTTAATCATCTAAGCTGTACAGATTTTATTCTTCCTAAGCACATTGGCTACCTGGTCAATTACGTTCCCTCAACTGGGAGATGTTCAATGTGCACTTTGCAATTGACAAAATAAAGCACTTTGATAAAGTGCACGGTTAATGGGATTTCCGATTAGCTGCACAGATCAGTGAAGTGAAATGAATCTTACAGGCAAAATGAATCCCCACCACCAGGTAAGAATAATTCCCAATTTTGGAAGGTCAGCTTGGTGTCTGACACATGTGGAAATTCATTACTGTGCTTAAGAGCATTTAAACCAGATAGTTAGCATGATCTAGCTGAATTATTTATTTACAGAATGAGAAATATTAATGTGCTAGTTACTGCCTAAAATGTTTAGCAAACATCTGCAAAGAACAAGAACAAAATTTCAGCGTGACACTGACATTACTTGCATAATACTGTACTCACCACAGTACAGGGCCCAGTAATAAAGCAAGATAAAGGATTACTGCATTGTAGATTTTAATGATTAAAACCAGTTTTGTTAATACTCATCTAATTGACAACACAGTACACTTGTCCGCATGTTCCTCCACGATTAACATCTAGATTTTCTAACTTGTATCTATTATTTTACGTAATCCCTGAAAAAGCTCTTACAATTTTCTTCAAAACAAATTTGCTCACTGTTGCAATTAATATGAGTTATTAGCATTCACTCCATCACCCATTAAGCGCTCCGAGATGCTATCCTATCTAACGTACGCTATATAAATGCAAGTTGTTGTCTTCATAGATTAGAAATATTTCAACTGATCAGATAGGAACAACATCAGTAATTCAGCAATTTATTGAACAAACAAAACCAAATTATTTTCATGTCTGCCTGGTTCAGTTGGTAGTACTTTGCCTCTGAGTCAGAAGGTTGTGGATTGAAGCCCCACATCAAGACTTTAAACTTTCAGCTAAGGCTGACATTCTAATACAAAGCTGGGGATGTGCTGCATTGTTGGAGTGCCATCCTTCAGATGTGGTCACTGTAATCAACAAAATATATGGGAACAACCGGAAAGGATTCAGGGATGAGCAACACAAGAACATTCCAGATTTTAGATCACAAACCTGTGAAGAGAAGATAAAGAAAAGGGGAAATCAGATGTATTTATTTTAAAATCTATGAAGGGATTTGGTAATTGGATGTGGAGGGATTTTGTACATAACAAGGACAGGATAACTAGGGCACAAGATTATAATTCAAGTAACCAGAAGCTAGATTTAACTTGGAAGAGTAACTTGTCAGTCTATCTCAGTGGTAGCACTCTCGCCTACAAGTCAGAAGGTTGTGGTTTCAAGCCCCATGACAGGACTTGAAATCGCAGACTCAAATATGGCACTGGGGGTGTGATGCATTGTTAGCGGTGCCATCCATCAGATGAAATATTAAGCTCAAGTCCCATCTTCCTGTTCAGGTGGATGTTAAACCTGGATCACCCCAGGCGATACCATCCCCCTGACCCGAGGCCACACTACCCAGCTCCATCTTCCACCGTACCCAACAACCTAACCGGGGTGATGGTGTGGCTCATCTCCAGGTCCTCAGTTGGCCTAACCTCGTACTCCTCCAGTTTCTTCCCATCTTTGGAGCACCTTACCTTCTACCATCCCTCCAACCTGTCCCTTAAAATTCTCCTTGTTTATCGCTCTCCCAAACCCTCCCCCACTTTTCTCTCAGATATCTCACACCTGGGTTCAATTCCAGGCAGGGCGAAACCTTGGGCAAGTTTCCTTACTCCACACGCCTAATAATAATCCCTCCAAAAAAACCAATAATAAATTGGTCATTTTTAACCACGACTGTTTGTGGGACACTGCTGTGCGCAATTGGCTGCCGCGTTTCGCCCACAAATATACGGTCAATTCACTTTACAGCATATTCTGTGAAGCGCTTTGAGACGTCTAGAAGACGTGAAAACCGCTATATCAAATGCAAGGATTATTATTATTATTATCTCCACGCTTCTAGCCTCCCTCTGCCTCTCTCCCCGCCATCCAACCTACATCCATCTACAACCAGCCTAGAAAAAAAATTTCTGCACTCCCTCTCCACTGCCCTTGAGTCATCTGAACTCCTCCCCTTCTGGGCTTCCTCCAACAAGGACCTAACCTCCTCGGTCACTCAACTCCACCACTCTCAATGCCCTTGCTCCCCTCCCGAACCGCCTCCTACTCACACAAGTCACCCTGGTACACCAGCCACCTCCACTCCCTAAAGGAATAGGTATGTGGCACCGAACGCACCTGGCTCAAATCTAATTTAACAATCCATCGGCTGGACCTCATTAAATCTTACCACTCCTGCCTCGCCTCCGCTAAATCATACCTCTACTCTAAGTTGATGTTGGAGGCCAGGACAACCCAAGGCTCCTCTTCTCCATAACTAACCGGCTCCTCCATCCACCCTCTCACGCCTTGCCCATCCTCTCCTCCAACTCCAACTGAGCGGAGATGCTGGACTTACTCAAGACCAAAATCGAAGGAAACTGATCTGCTGCATCTGCCCTTCAAACTGTTACCTCCTCATCCTCACACTCCAGCCCTACCCATCTGTCCTTCACACCTTCGAACTTGTCTCCCCCCTCCTTTCTCACCACCATTATGACCCATATGAAACCCACCACCTGCTCCCTCAACCCCACGCCTACCCCTCTTCTTACCTCCCAGTTCCACCTCCTTGCCCCTCTACTCACAGGCATCATCAACCTCTCCTTATAAGTGGCATCGTTCCCATCCCCTTAAAAACAGCTATCATCAACCCCATCCTCAAAAAACCTTCCCTGGACCCATCCCTGCTCTCCAATTACTGCCCCGTCTTAGTTTTTAAAGTTTATTTGAACAACATTGAGAAGTAATACATTTCATAACATTCAACAAGTCATCTAGTTGAATAATTCAGCATTATACATTGGAATATGCAGCACCGAAACAAGCCATTCAGCCCAACTGGTCTACGCCGGTGGTTATGCTCTACATGAGCCTCCTCCTGCCCTTCCTCAACTGAGCCTTCAAGCATTCTTAATTTTTGCCCTAAAAATTTGTCCTCACCAATCCAATCATTGCCATTTTTGAAATGGAAATGAACAATGAGTTGTGCTGTGTGGAAGAGACTCCCAACTAAAGCAACTGAAAAGAGGCTTGGATAAATATCAGTTTGAGAACAGCAATGAGATGGAAAAATTAGGTGCAGATTGAATTGAATAAATACTGCAATACATTTCAGCAGTAATAGTGTTAATGGAGAGAAGGGGACCGGTTTGATGATTCAAGATAGAGTTATACAGATGGAAAAATATTGTGGATTTTGTTTTTGCTTTATTACCTTTGGGGTTCAGGGAGTACACACAACTCTCTACAGGCAAATTAATGGGTGGATTGAAATCTAAAATATAGTAGGTTTTATGTTGCTGTAAAAGAATGGACCAAATGACCTTTTCTCATTCCATTTTTGCTCTACGTCAACCAGAATGGAGAGAAAGTACTATTTCTCCAAACAGTAAGTGCAAATGTAAGAAACATATTTATTTTTTGGAAGATACATTGCATGTTACCTTCACCATAAACCCCTCGTTATGGAACGTTTCCTAAGAAAATCAACTGGAATATAATAGGTTTCAGGCTCTATTTCCAAATGTAAAGTTATGCAGAGTTTATATTATATTAATTACGCGTATTATATCTCCTCAAGCCAAGGGCAATGTTTCCACCACCTTAACAATTATTTTGATATTATAAAGCGAGGTTATACAATGTAACAAAAACTTCAAACTTGAAAGTTGCAAAGATCTGATATTTTTATCATGTTCAGAGACAGAAAAGAGAAAACAAATTTCTTTGGTAGAATATTGCATCCTACTATAGCAAGGATGATTCTTTACATTACTCAGTTCTACAAACAAAAGAAAGCACATACCAGGTTTAATCTATTTGTAATTCCAAATGCTTCAATCTGTACTTGCTTTTGTGACACAAGTTTGCATTATAGAGTAACTATAGTGAGTCAACATCAAAGTTTTAAAAATTACGAATAAGCCGAACCTACAAAATCCTGGTCTGCACCATCAGAATAAATTTTCATTATACGCAGTTCAGCACACATTGGAGGACTGTTGACTAAACCTGTTTCTGAAAATCTATTTAATAAAACTAAAAATCGTACTTTTCTTTAAAATTGAACTTGTAGCATGTAATGGAAATGCAGCATGTAATGTTGCATTTCCATTTTGAAAAGAGTAACGTTTCTTCAATAAAAAAAATTGTTGGGCAGGCCACAGGGAGAAACTCTCTTCTCTTTTCAAATAGTGCCAAGTTTCACGTCCACCTGAACAG